GTAGAGGCACAGGTAGACAGAATCAGGACGCGAATCATTCACAGAGCGTTGAATCTCTTCGAGGATTTTTTTTTTTTGAACATTGACGGCATCAGCGGCAATCGGACTTGAATCATCTACAACAGAGGCTACAGAGTCTTAATGGAACACCCCCACTTTCGATGTCTCTACAAATTCATCTACGGCGATGGTGTGGACGATGTGAACAAGGACCGTTTTCTTGACGATACAGACAAAGCCGGCGGGCAGGACACCGGCTGCAGTGGCGACAACTGTCTGACAGACGACCCAACACGAATGGCAACACAAGCACTGAGGATGGCAGCGTGCACGCAGCAAAGGCATCGACTGTGACTGCAGCATAGCATGCATTGGCAAAGGGAAAGAAAAAAAGGCACGTAAGAGGCTTACAGAACAGGCAGTGGGGCATGCTGAGAAAGACGTTGAGAAGGACAATGGGCTATAGTGGCCAAGCCTATAGCGAGCGAATACGATGAAGGCCATGCGTGAAAAGTATTTGATGGAATGCAAGCGGAGGGTGGAAGGGCTGGAGAAAGAACACGAGGGCGATGAGAAGGACGAGGAGAAATAGAGACAGACACATGAGGAAGAAGCTGGGGACGAGGAGACGAGCAAGACGAACGAAGGGAGACCACTGGAAGATAAAGAACCTGAACTGCAGGAGCAAACGGGATTGTCGACAGCGTGGAAGCGGTGAATCGGCTAGGGATGACGATGCCCAGTTTAGTTGGGTTGACCTTTTGCTATTTCTGGGAATGGGGAGGGGGAGGGATGGATTTCTCTTTTTTTTCGTTTCTTTTTTTCTTCTTCGTCGTCGTTTTGTTTGGTCTCTTTGTCATTCGTTTTCTCGAGCAAGGCGTGTAACAAAATAAGAAATTAGTTTGCTGAAGCCGACGACGGTGGACTGCGACAATACGCGAACTGAGAACATTTGAGCAAAAGCGCAACTGACGAATGGACGACGAGAATTGATGAAACATGAGCTGACATCGAAACGGGGAAAAGGAAACCCAAAAAACACCCATCAACATCGACAGTTGCAAAAGTTCGGACGACAAGAATAGGAGAGACAAGAAGGAAGGGAAGAAGGCAAAAAAGGGATGGCAGTCATGCGAAGGGGGAGGAAAGACCATGAGCTTGGCCACCAAAAGAAAAGAGAAAAATGGACGACGAAACAAGAAACAAGTTGAAACACTGAAACATCTGGATCTCGCCCGTCGTCTCTTCTTTCTCTCCTGTCTTTGCTCTAGCCTTTACCCTCGTCGTTTCACAATGTGCATGCGCCAGGGGCGTCCTGGGCCTGCGATTGGCTGCAAGGCGCGGCCAAGACAAAGCAGCCTGGTCTCGCTGGTTTGCTGGTTCGCTGGTTTGCTGGGAAGGACCCCGCGACTGTCGTACCAGTCGATCGCTGTTATCCAGTCGGTTCGGCCTCAGCAGCACGAGCCTGTTCCTTTCTGCCGTTACCATCTGCGCTGTTCCTTTGTCCTCAGCCCAGCCTCCTCACGATGTTGCCCCTTTTTGGCGGAAGCTCTCGAGAAATAATGACCAACCAGAGTCCAAGGTCTCACTTCTTGTCTGTGAACGCCTGCTGGACATCTCCGCTTTTTGCGTCCTTCTCCCGAGCAAGGAGAAACAGGCAAGACAGGGTACTCGATAGGAAAGGGAGACTAGGCACAAAACGATGAGATCTTTGGCCGTTTGTCGATTGTGTCTCGATATTCTGTACCATTTAATGTGAACCACCAAACGCAGGGCAACGGTACAAAGGACTGAAAAGGGAGGACAGGGAAAACGAGGACGGAATCCAAGACCAAACACAATCTGGAAACGAAAGAATATGCGGCCGCCCGCAGGATGCGGCCTGTTTCAATATGGGCTAAAGGTCAAAAGCGAGGCCGACCTGGTATACTCGGCGGCAAACAAAATATCTAGAGTAAGTGGCAATTCAACGTAATTATATCAGAACTTTGACGCATTCCTTGTGCCCGTGAAAGTCCCACGAACCGGGGAGCAAATCAACGAGCCGGACATACCCTGCCGTCAGTCGGAAGACTCACCGAATAGGCCTCTACAAAACCGCGACGGCGGAATGGCGAAACGCTGGTTGCGCAAAGAGGCCTGTCAACTCTCCTTTGGCGCTCTTGGCGATCCTTTTTTTGAGCGGAGCTTTGTTGGCTGTTCGACTTGTGTGCAAGTCACCCCTTGAATTGGTGTCTTGCTGATACCCCGAAGGGATACACACGAGAAGGCATCCTAGGAAGTCTAGGAAGTCCTGGGAAACAACGTAGGAAACGCCGTTGGAAGCAACTCAAAGCTTCGCCAAGCACCCCAGAATCCCAAGAATTCTGTTCGCGTTCTTAGGCCACACCCACTCGTTCCGTCTGTTTTTCTGCTGGGAGACGTCGTGTCTTCTCCTACGAGATCTCCGGGCCTTCCTTGGCCACGATGGGAAGGAGGACGGCAGCGTTGTCGGAGTACGCGCCCCAAGACTGACAGGGCCCATCTGATTCACAGTGAGAACCGTGCAAGACGACAAAGAGATGGAACAAAAAAACGCCCCAAGAGAAGAGTCATGTTCTTGCCTCGACGCTGGTTGTCTCTGTCCAGCTCGGTAAAGCGACCGACAGGGTCCGGATCGACGACGACCAATCGATTGCACATTGTCAGCCATGTCTGTGGGAGCTGTCGTGAGAAGAGTCAGGCGACGGCACGGGGGACTGCAAGAATGTACTTTGTAAGATACTCCGCACGTCGTCCCTCCATTGGGAATCCAGGACGATGGATGCAGGGGACACAAAACGGCAGGGCACACCGACCGGGCATTACCCAAATTGGAAGGAAGGAAAAGCAGTGACCCTTCGAAGAAGAGGCAGTTGCATGATGATGCCAGGTCCGTCTTTCCCTTTTACGTCACTTGTTCTTACCTTTTTTTTTTTTTTTTTTTTTTTTTTTTGGTCTGCAGCCAAGCAGGACCCGTGCCTGGCAGGTGCGCGTGCCCCTGGCGTTAAAGACGTACTGTGGTAAAGGCGTTGGCGGCTCGCCCCAGACGGGCGCTTTGTAGCGCTACGGTTCAGCTCTGGTATGCGCTGTGGTGCAGCACTGACTCCCGGGGTCCTAGGGCGCGTTTGGTTGCGAGTGGGTACCTGCGTCTCAACCCCTGCATTGGGGGCCTCTCCTGTCTTGCTTTTTTGCGCGAAAGCGGGGCTACCCTGAGTCGTGGATCGTGGTGTCCTCCAAAGGAACAACACCTGGTTGGCTGCCGCCTCGTTCTCGCCGGCTCTCACTGCCCAACCAACACCGACTGCACTGTTCATGGTGAACCGCCACCACGACGATCCATGATCGACTGGCTGAGCCGCAACGGGAGGATATACTCTTCGTCAACGGAGGATGCTTTTTGTTGGTTCCTCTTTTTTTTCGTCTTTCTTTTTTTTCTTCCTTCCTCTCCCTCATTTTTCTTTTCTCGCGTTACTGTACAGCATCTGTTGCACACACAGTTTAACTCCAAGGGACTGTCTACTTGTGGGCGTCAGGTGCTGCATTCAACGTCATTTTCTCTCTGTCTTTTCAGTTTGTTTTTGTCGTCATTTTTTTTGAAAACATTCTACAGACTCATGAAAATCTCATGCAGACGGGCCTTGCCTTTCATCCTCATCCTCCCTAAAGGCACCAAACACGTACAGGGCTGTCAGATGTCCGGAAAGGGGCGACAAGGACACCCTCTTTGGCAAACAAAGGCTTCGCCGACCAACCAGAAAGACACAAATACAAAGAGAGTACGACCTACGTCGTACGGAGGAACGTTGACATAAAGAATACGACACAAAAAGGACAAGCATCAAAAAAAGATCGTGCCTGCCTCCACCTGTCGATCGGTCGCACCCCATGCGCAAGGGAAGGTGCGGTCGCACCAGTCAGGGGCTCCCGTCTCCCAGCTTTCGTACCTAGAAGGAGCCCTCCGAGCCCCGTCCCACCCCTATTCACCCGCCTATTCGCCTGTGGCTTGAAACACGCCACTGCAAAAGGGAGGCCTGCCCGCTGGCCTATCACAGCCTGTCAATCCTCCTCGTCTCTCACCTGGGACAATTTTTTTTTTTTTTTAAAAAAAAATCGCCTTTTCCCCCATGTCGCTTCCGTCGCTGCATAACTGACCGTAGCCCTGTGCCCCTGGCAATTTGTAGAACTCCAGCGCGTGCGTCGTGTTTGCCTGCGCCGCCCAGTCTTTACCTGGTTCCTTCCCAAAGTCTGCCAGTCGCCTCCCCGATATTTTGTGGATCGCTCGCTCTTTCCTCTTTGGTCTGTAAGTCGGTGCTGGCCAACAAGAAGCAGCACTCACAGAATGCGAGAGGCGTAGGCAGGAATAAGCCCTGCATCGGTCCTTGCTCTTGCCCATCCTGGACCGTGAGACCACAGAATATCAGATCGTCTTTCACTGGCTCTCCCTTTTTTTGTTTCTGTTGTTTCTGCCGTTTCTGTTGTTGACCCTCGTCATTGTCGCCGCTGGCGCTGTCCACGACCAATCGTTTGCCCCAGCATCGTCACCTCCGAGCCTCCCTCTTTCTTGTCCCTGTCTCCTGTCATCCTCTATTATCCGCAGGAAACAGCTCGCCGTTCCTCGTTTCCTTTGCTCTCCTTGGCCACTTTCTTCTTTCTTGCCGCAGGGAAGCTTCCCAGCTGCTTCAAGTATGACATATGGCATACGACGCATTCCGTACTTTGGTTGTCCCTGCGGGCATCCCTTCCCCAGTCGGCCTTGCCCCTTTTCCAGCCTGCCGCCACGGCGCCTGATGAGACCCAAAAGCGCCCATGGTCTGTGGCCTCTGCCGACATGGCCTTTGTCTCCCTGCTTTCGGTAGACACCCACACTTTTTTTTTCTTGCATGCTGTGCGTCTTTTGGCCTGCTGTGTCTCTTAGTCTGCTTGTCGTGAGCGGACCCATTTGTCTGCAGCCTCTACCCCGGCCATCCAGGGCCCCTCTCTCAATGGCCAAACGCCCGCTTCTCACCGTCTGTGTGCACTTTTGTGTCCACTCGGCGGAGGAGAACTCCACCTTTGCTCTCTCTGCCCAGATGGCCACTCCTACCTTTGTGCTCCGCTTGGCCTGAAACCCCTGCCATTCTTTTCCCTCTTGTCTCGCGATCTTGAGATATAAGATCCCTCTCGACATCCTCTTGCCAAGTCTTGATTTTCCTCCTTTCCCTTTTCTCTTTTTGTTCTTCTTCTTTCCCTTCTTCTCTCTTCATCCTGTTTCTGTTTCTTCACCTCCACCGTTTGTTTCGTCCTGCATCTTCCCGACCTAGTGTCGTACGCATTCATTCCTTAAGGCCCGGTTCCTTTTTTATCAAATTGCATTTCCAAAACAACTTTTCGATTTTTCGATTTTTCGATTCACAAATCTTCAAGTTTTATCTTTACACGCCTGGTGCATCACTTTCCTTTTGAGCTCTGACGCTTTTTACTTCACCTGCACACTATCACGCTCACCGCGAACATACTGGACTGCTTTGATCCTTTGAACTCAAACCACCCAACACAATCCAACACTCTAGAGCAAATTTTCGTTTGTTCATTGTCCATTGTTCCAACTGTTCCTTGTGAGTATTCCTCGTTGTATTCTTGGGGTTCCTTTGGCAACCAGCCAAAGGTCCTCCATATTTGCCCTGTTCACGCCTTGTGGCGTAGGCTTTGTTCTTTGTTGATTCACCACATTGCAAACGAACATCGTACCCCCCTCTTGCTCACCCTGTTGCTTGTGAACAGAGCACATTCTGTAGCCATTCAAGTTGACTGACCCAGACTCTTATAAATACAGCGGATCTTCGCCATTCAACTTCATTTTCGCCCCCGGTCTCTCTCGCTCACACACACACACACTTCGTCCACAGTAAAACGACTGCAAAACGCAACATTTTGCAACGGCCCAGCTTCCTACAAGCAACACACATCAACCCACACCAAATTCGCCAGTCTTCTCGCAATCGTCCGGCACGATATACAGAAAACTAGACCAAAAACGTCAACAGACAAAAATCACGAACATCACAAATTCAGTCACCATGTCTGCCTTTCGCTTCCTTTTCGCCGCCTCCATGGTCGCCCTGGCCCGTGGCCACATGAAAATGAACACCCCCCAGCCCTACGGCACGCCCGCCCTCGTCAACGGACCTCTTCACGCTGATGGTTCCAACTTCCCTTGTCAGCTAACTGCTGGTGGCTCTTTCTCCGCCGGCGGCGCCTCAAACACCTACCCACTCGGCTCCGAGCAGGAGCTCAAGTTCACCGGCCAGGCCGTCCACGGCGGCGGTTCTTGCCAGGTGTCCATCACCTACGACAGCAACCCCAGTGCTTCGAGCACATGGAAGGTCATCCGCTCCATCGAGGGTGGCTGCCCCGCCCAGGGCCAGACGGGCAACATGGGCGACAACGCCGATGCGGCCGACCCCTACACCTACAACTTCACCGTCCCGGACAACATCCCCACCGGCTCGGTCACCCTTGCCTGGACCTGGTTCAACAAGATTGGCAACCGCGAAATGTACATGAACTGCGCGCCCGTCACCCTCACCGGCACCTCGGGCAGCAAGTCCAACTTTGACAGCCTCCCCGACATGTTCGTCGCCAACGTCGGCAACGGCTGCGGCACCGTCGACAGCACCGACCTGCTCTTCCCTAACCCCGGCAAGGACGTTGTCTCCATGAACGGCGCCACGTCGGCCTTCTCGACGCCTACGGGCACGGGCTGCCAGGCTGCTGGTGGTTCTCCCGCGGCTGGTGGTTCTGGTTCTGGCTCTGGCTCTGGCTCTGGCTCTGGCTCTGGCTCGGGTACCACTGCTGCTGCTGCCGGCAGCACCTCGGCTGCTGCTGCTGCTGGCGGTGTCTTTGTCACTGTCCCCACGTCTGGTGCTGCCGCCGGCGGTTCTGCTGCCACTACGAGTCCCGCTGCTGCCAAGTCCGGTGCTTCCACCACGACCACCAGCGCCACCTCGACCACCACTCTGCCTGCCGCCGCTGGCGGTGCTGGTGGTGGTGCCTCCAGCGCTGCCGCCCCCGCTTCGACTGCCGCGTCCTCCGGCTCGAGCACGACGTCGTCCACCTCTACTGGTTCCGCCGAGGCCGCCGGCTCCGCCTGCTCGCCCGACGGCACCTGGAACTGCCTGGGCAACTCGTACCAGCAGTGCGCCAGTGGTGTCTGGTCTGTCGTTATGCCCCTGGCTCAGGGCACGACTTGCAAAGGTAGCCAGGGCTCTTCCATTGACATCGTGTCGGGCCGCAAGTCCCGCCGCGTTGCTCTGCGCTTCCGTGCGTAAAACAGTGGTCGTGTCTTGGATGGCGAAAGGTGAAAGGTTTATAGACAATCTTCTGGGCATGGTTCATTTTTGGAAAGGCGGCGTGTAACAACATTAAGCATTTTGTGACTTTTTTTGTCTTTTTTTCTCTGTTGATTTCTTTTCTCTCTTCTTCTTTTCTTCACTTCACTTCCTTCTTTTGTACATAACTTTTTTGTGTCTCTTTCCTCCCCTTTTCTGTCTTCTTCACTTCTTTTACATTCTTTTTATCTTCCCTCTTTACCACACTCTCTTGATACCAGACACTGCCTCGGGCCAAAAAAAAACCCAAATCGAGTAAAACGCTGAGCGTCGACTTGGGCCGGGTGGCAAATCACAAAACAAACCAACAGAAACAGATATGGTCCAAAGCAATTAAAAAAAAATCATTCAAAAATACAATCCTGCCCCATATAAACTGTACAACAAGCCACCTTCATTGACAAAGTAAAGAAGTACTGACCACAGAACATTGAAAGTAAGTGAACAACGGTATTGCAGTGAACAACTTGCTTCTTGCATCTCACAAGCGTTACAGTGAACGACGTCTTGTTCGCCATTACACAGGCGCTCTTTCCTTTTTGGGAAAATTGTTGATGAGAGCCAGTCGCCTTGTCGCTAATTGGCCAGCGACCGCCTGCGTTGTCCCCAGCTACTTCCATTCTTGTCGGCGGACTTTTGTTCTGCCGTTGCCTAGCGCAAAAGGTTTTGGCAGGACCGTCGCCCACTTCCCTCCTTCCCCCCGTCCCTTCAAGCTGGTCAAGCTCTTTCCGCGAAGAAAGGCGTTTTCTCCATTGGCGAAGAGGCTGGCTAGCGGCAGGAGCCAAGGGCAACCCAGTGCCTCGTAAAAGGATAACGGCACAGTCTGCTACATACATCAGACGAGACTGCAAGGTACTTCATGGACATGCCGTCGACCGCACATAATTGTCATATGTGAATAAAGTAAATAGTTAAAACATAAACCACTCTGGTAAGAGATCAACTCTTCACTTTTGTGCATTTTGAGGTTCTTGCATACACTGGACGGCCCTGCATTGTGTCGAACGACACGAGGCTGATGCGCCTCTGCCGCCAAAAACACTAGCAATTTTCGACGCCAGAGTGTTTGCATACTGTCCATTTAGCGACTATTCACGCTGAGCAGAACGCCTGTAGATCGCGTCGCAACTTACACTTTTGCACCTCCTTCCGCTCCTGCCAAAAGCCTCTTTTTCCGGCCCTCCCTTTGTTTTTGTTTTCACCACTCTCCTCCTCCACCAACATACGGCCAAGGCGTTGGCATCCGCCTGACACAAGGATCGGCCTTTCTTTTCACGATACCCTTCGTTTTCCTATACCCTGTCTGATTCGGCCTCCGTCGTCTTTCCATACATTAATTGACAGCCGAGTCGACTTTTTTATTTCACGACTTCATCACCATCACCTTATTGTCCTGCTGAGCAATCCTCGCCCGTTGGACTACATACGACTTCTGCCTGTCCGTGGCCACGCTCCGGTGCTCTCCACGCATGGGGCCAAGATAGGAACCTGACGACCGTCTTGTGTCGCACGGCTTCACCCTGCGACACCCTCGTCTCCCCACGCCGCACGGCCGCCGTCGCCGTAGCGGCCGACTCTCCCTCCCTCCCTTCTCCCCCCCCAGACGCCATCATGGCCTCTGCAGGCGTCATCGACACAATCCTCCGCCAGCTGGCGACGGTCGACTTGTCCGCCAAGGACAAGTTTGAGGCCGCCGTCACGTTGCGCGACCACCTCGACCACTACACATCCGGGCCGGTCTACCCACAGTTTCTGAAAAAGGTCATGCCTGTCATTATCGGTATCCTCAGTGGCCCGCCCAGCTTCCAGAGCGAGTCCTCGGAGCAGAAACTGCGCAACTGCATGCTGGAAATCATCCACCGCTTCCCCTCCATCCCCTCCCCACCCGAGCCGTTCGAGCCATATGCCGAAGAGACCATCGACCTGCTCTCGCGCCTCATCCGCACCGACAACGAAGACAATGCGTGCCTGTGCATAAAGACCGTCTGCGACATCCTGCGCCACCAGTCCAAGGTCTGTGGTGCCAAGGCCCAGGCGTTCCTGCTTCTTGTCAAGGACCTGTTTGACCAGACAGAGCTCATTGTCAAAAGCCAGCTCGACCATGAGCAGCCGGCCGACGGCTCAGCTGCCGCCGGTGTTGGTGCCGGTCCCGGTGCAGCGGCACTAGCAGCAAGCGACCCAACGGCCCCCTCCACGCCGGGACCCTCACATCCGCCTGGCTCACCCGTTGCTGGAGCATCGCTCGAGGTTGACCGGCCGCTGCTCAAGGGCATGCAGTCGTTCAAGGTGATCGCCGAGTGCCCGATCATCGTCGTCAGCATCTTCCAGATGTACCGCTCGCTCAACAACATCAAGCCCTTTATCCCTGTCATCAAGGCCGTGCTCAGCACGCACCCCAAAGCCCAGGACCGCGCGCACGCTGAGGCCAATGCTCGGGGTGCCAACTTCTTCGGCATGAGCCCGCTCATCCGCAACAAGACGAGCTATGGCGACTACATTACGCTCAAGGTGAAGATGATGAGCTTCTTGGCCTATGCCCTGCGCCAGCATGCCGATCTCATGGCCGACTTCCTGCCGGCGCTGCCGTCCACCATTGTCCGGCTGTTGCGTGACTGCCCGCGCGACAAGGCCGCCGCCCGCAAGGAGCTCATCGTGGCCATCCGCCACATCATCAACTTCAACTACCGCCTGATCTTTGTTAGCGTCATTGAGCAGTTCCTCGACGAGCGTACCCTCATGGGCGACGGCCTGACCGTGCACGAGACCATGCGTCCGCTCGCGTACAGCATGCTGGCCGACCTGATCCACCACGTCCGCGACCACCTGAAGCCGCCCATCATCCGCAAGACCGTCGCTATCTACACGCGCAACCTGTTGGACGACTTTCCCGGCACCAGCTTCCAGACCATGAGCGCCAAGCTGCTCCTGAACATGGCCGAGTGCATCGCCAAGATGGACGACAAGGTCGAGGCCCGCTACCTCCTAGTCACCATCCTCAACGCGATTGCCGACAAGTTTGCCTCCATGAACCGCCAGTACAACAACGCCGTCAAGCTGTCGGCCGACGTGCGCCGCCAGCAGGCCGACCAGCAGCGCAAGGCCGCTGCATCGCCCACCGCCCTCGGCACGGCGGCCTTCTCCGAGACGTACCTGGCCGACATGGACGCCACGGCACCCGCCTGGGACGAGATCGACATCTTCACCGCCGCCATGCCCATCAAGCTGATCAACGCGCGCGAGCGAGGCCACGACCCGGTCGTGGACAACAAGTTCTTGTTCAAGACCCTCATGCACGGGCTGCGGAACACCGTCTTCCAGCTCCGCGCCTGCACCCAAGCACCTGCCATCGACCCGGCCATCGCGCCCGCCGGCTGGTCCGAGGTCGCCAGCGGCTTCAACGCCGAGGAGGTCCAGGTCATTGTCAAGCTGCTGCGCGAGGGCGCCCGCGTCTTCCGGTATTACGAGGGCGTCAAGGACAAGAACGCCTCCGACGCTCACTACGCGTCCACGGTCGAGTACATGGCCAACTTTTACATGGCTTCCAGCAGCAAGGAGGAGAAGGACCTGCTCGAGATGTTTGCGACCGTCTTCCACGTCATCGACCCGGCCACGTTCAACGAGATCTTTGGCCACGAGGTGCCGCATCTCTTCGCCATGACCCTCGAGCACCCGGCCCTGCTGCACATCCCGCAGTTCTTTTTGGCCAGCGACGTCACGTCGCCCACCTTTTGCGGCATGCTGCTGCGCTTCCTCATGGACCACATCGAGGAAGTCGGCCTGGCCGACGTCAAGAAGGCGTCTGTCCTGCTGCGCCTGTTCAAGCTTGCGTTTATGGCCGTCACGCTCTTCGCTGCACAGAACGAGCAGATTCTGCTGCCCTACGTCGTCGACATCATCAGCAAGTCTGTCGAGCTGTCGACCCACGCCCAAGAGCCCATGAACTACTTCTTCCTGCTCCGCTCGCTCTTCCGTAGCATCGGAGGCGGCAAGTTTGAGCACCTCTACAAGCAGATTCTGCCGCTCCTCGAGATGCTGCTGGACGTCCTCAACAACCTCCTGCTGGCCGCCCGCAAGCCGGTCGAGCGCGACCTATATGTCGAGCTGTGTCTGACGGTGCCCGCCCGTCTCAGCAACCTCCTGCCGCACCTCAACTTCCTGATGCGCCCCCTCGTCGCCGCCCTCCGCGCTGGCTCGGATATGATTGGTCAGGGACTGCGTACCCTTGAGCTCTGCGTCGATAATCTTACTGCGGAATACCTCGATCCGCTGATGGCGCCGGTCCTCGACGAGCTCATGCCCGCCCTCTACGACCAGCTGCGCCCGCATCCGTACAGCCACTTCCACGCACACACCGCCATGCGCATCCTCGGCAAGCTCGGCGGCCGCAACCGCAAGCACATGACCGACCACCTGCCCCTGACGTTCAAGCAGTACATTGACGACGTGCCGAGCTTCGACGTGCGCCTCGTGGGCTCTAAGAAGGACCGCGCCTTCAATGCCGACCTGGGTCTCGAGCTTGCCCTCCAGAAAATCATGGAGGTGCCCAGCAAGCCGGTCAAGGGCCCCATTCCCAAGCAGTCCGACGCGTACTACAAGAAGCAGGCTCTGCAGATGATTGAGGCGCAGATCAAGATCCGCATTGGCTACGACAAGAGCGTGCCCGAGGACCTGCCTCGTCTTGTCCGCCTGCAGGCGCAGGACCTGCTCGCGCGCAAGTTTGACGTCGACCTGGGCCCCTTTGAGGAGATCCACCGCGACCGCTCCGTTGCCAAGAAGCGCGATCAGGAGGAGGTCCTGACGCGCCTGCTCAAGGCGCTTCTGTACGCCGAGTCCATTCCCGAGCTGCGCGACGAGGCCGACGCGTTCCTGATGAACATCTGCCGCCACTTTGTCGTGCTCGACGTGGGCCGCTCCCTTGTTAATGCCAAGAAGGCCAGCACAACGTTTGACGCCACGACGGGCGAAGGACCCCTGGTCGTCGATGCCCACATCCTGGCCGACGCCCTGCTGGACTCGCTCGCGTCCATGCTGCCCGAAGTCCGCGAGGCTGCGCAGCGTGCCATCCGCGTCATGTTCGAGACGGCCGCTACCATCTTCGGCTCGGAGCGCCACGTTCATGTCCTCGAGTTCTTTGGCCACCTCTCGTCCACCTTTACGCACGGCTGTTACGTTGAAGAGTGGTTCCTCAAGACCGGTGCCTGCCTCGGCATCCATACCCTGCTCACTGAAATCGACCTCGGCGAGGCATGGGTCGACTCTGTCCAGATGGACTTTATCCGCGCGCTGCTCTTTGTCGTCAAGGACATGCCGCCCGACCTGCCGGACACGACTATGCGTCTCGCCCAGAAGACGCTCGAGGCGCTCCTGGACCGAGTCACCAAGGGCCTCACCAAGGACGACGTGGTGCCCGCCAAGGACCATGCCCATCCACGAGCGGAGCAGGACAACAAACGCAATTCGCAGACGCCCCAGCCGCCTCAGGCATCGCCTGCGCCTCAGACGACACCTCAACCCACGCCCACACCCGCGCCCGCCGCAGTCGCACAGGGTACACCGCAGCCGGCGGCAGCGGCAGCGACATCGACGCCCGCTCCGTCGACCACCGCTGTGGCAGCGCCGAAGAGCACCCGCGCGCGCCGTCTCCCCACGACCTGCAACCTCCTGGCCATGGAGCTGTCACACATGAACAAGCACGTCCGCAGTACTGCGAAGAAATCGCTGGAGCAGATTGCCAAGAACATTGATGCCCAGGTCTGGGAGATTATCGAGCCCCACAAGGAGCGTCTGCTCACGCCGCTGTTCCAGAAGCCGTTGCGTGCACTGCCGTTTGCGATCCAGATTGGCCTTATTGACGCCCTGACCTACTTCCTGACGCTCAAGACCGACTTTGTGGCCATTGACGACGACGTCGACCGCCTCCTCACGGAGGCCCTGGCGTTGTCCGATGCCAGCGACACGTCGCTGGCCGGCAAGTCCGCCGAGTTCCGCACGCATAACCACATTGTCCAGTTGCGCGTGGCGTGCATCCGCATCCTCAGCACGGCCATGGGCTTCGACGAGTACCAGCGCAACAAGGACAACAAACCCAGCGTCACCCGTGCCGCCATTGTCTCCATGTTCTTCAATCGACTCTATGCCGATTCCGATCCGACGAGCGAGGCGGCCAATGAGGCACTGAAGCGTGTTTTCATGTACACCAGCAAGCTGCCCAAGGACCTGCTGCAACAGGGCCTGCGCCCCGTCCTCGCTAGTTTACAGGACGCGAAGCGCCTGACGCCCGAAAATCTCGAACACCTGGCCCTGTTGTTGCGCTTGCTGACAAACTACTTCAAGGTCGAGATTGGTTCACGGCTGCTCGACCACGTGGGCAAACTGGCGCAGCCGGCCGAGATCCAGCGGGTGTCGTTTATGCTCTACGAGCAGAGCGTGCTGATGAACACCATTGTCGGCGTCTTTGGCATCTTTCCGCTGCTGCCCGACGCTGCCCGCATGTACAAGGAGCGCATCATCGACGCCGTGCTCGACCTTGAGGAGAAGCTGCGCCGCACCCACCATAGTCCGCTGCGTGCGCCCGTCTACAAATACCTCAACCGCTATCCCGACGAGTGCTGCAACCTGCTGACAAGCCGCATTGAACAGCTCAAGTACGGCAGGTTCCTGGCACAGGCGCTGGACGACCCCGACAGCCAGGCCATCCGCGACTACTGCGACGCCCACGTCGACGAGCTCATCAAGAGCTGCAACACGATTGTTGAGGAGCAGAAGGAGACGCGCTTTGTGGCCGTCATCAACACGGTGCACATCCTGCACTCGCTGGCCGCCCACCACAGCACGGCCGTGCCCTGGATGGAGAAAAAGGAGAACCTGATGTGGCTCAAGGCGGTGGCCAAGACGCTCGAGGAGCGCCTGCGCGCCAACGCCTACCCGCCGGAGCTCCGCCTGGCCGCCAACCAGGCCGCCGAGCAGCTCATGGCGATCTTGACCAAGTACCTCGATCTCCACGTCGACGACACCGACATGCTGCTCAGCCTGGTCGAGTGCGTCACGGCCGAAGACCTGCGCGCGACGCCCGCGTTCCACGCGCACATCTACAAGAAGATTGTCTGCAACGAGTCGGTCGACTTTTGCCGCTCGCTCGTTCTGCGCTGCCTCGAGGTATACGCGGGCAAGAAGGCCAGCCACAAGACCAAGTCGTACCTGCTGCACAACATGGTCAACCCCATCGTCGCCATGGACGTCATGCGCCACTGGGACCGCCTGGGCGAGAAGGACAAGGACAAGGGCTCGCCGCTGTTCGCCGACAAGCAGATTCTCGAGTCCATCAACAGCAAGATCTGGCAGGCTAGCATGGTCGACAGCCAGGACGACGCCGCCGCGGCCGCGGTGGGCGGTGTCGACTACACACGCATGGAGGTGATGCAGCTGACGGCGATGATTGTCAAGTACCACCACGTCATCCTGCAGGACCTGCGCAAGGACACCATCAAGTTTGGCTGGACCTACATTCGCAACGACGACGCGATGAACAAGAACGCTGCCTATGTGCTCCTCGGCTACTTCATTGCCCATTACGAGACGCCCGTCAAGATCGTGTCGCAGGTCTACTACTCGCTGCTCAAGACCAACCAGAGCGAGGGCCGCGCGCTCGTCAGCCAGGCGCTCGAGCTGATTGCGCCTGTTCTGCCCAAGCGCTTCAAGCCCAAAGGCGACGACCGCAACGCTGCCGTCTGGGCCGCCGCGCCGCGCCGCATCCTCGCCGAGGAGAGCCACAACGCCCAGCAGACGAGCAGCATCTTCCAGTTCCTCGTGCGCCACCCGGACCTCTTTTACGAGTTGCGCGATAAGTTTACCATGCTCATCATCCTGTCGCTGCAGCGCGTCGCCAGCCCCGCCAATGCGTCCAGCGAGAGCAAACGCCTCGCACTCAACCTCATGTGGCTCATCTGGCAGTGGGAGTACCGTCGTGTCGAGGGCAAGCCGATCGAAGAGGCGAACGGCGCCATCTCGGGATCGTCTGCTTCACCCTCGGCAGCGCGCTCCACGTCCGCGTCCCCAATGTCGCGCAAGCGCCGTCTCGAGGGGGACGAGCCTGGCGACCCGTCGTCGGGCGGCTCGCCGTCGGGCCAGGCGCCGGCTGCACCGGCGGTCGCACCTGTGAAGGAGTACCAGGTGCCGCAGGTGGGCCGGCAAAAGATGCTGCGTTTCTTGGTCAAATTCATTGCACAGCTGAACGAGCGCTATGAGCTGCCGTCGTCCAAGCCCAAGGACCCGAGCGCCCTGGCCCTGCAGTCGCCGAATCCCTGGAGCGACATGTGCAAGAGGTCCATGGCGCTGCTGTACAACCTGCTGCATCCGCGCTACTGGGGCATCAGCGACGTCGAGCTGCAGTCCAATGCGACGGACGTCGTCCTCGCCAGCGACAAGACGTCCCAGGCCCTGGCCAACGACCAGCCCGAGAAGGAGACCGAGGACAAGTTCATCAACAACATTATCAACATGCTGCAGGTCGTGCGCGTGATCCTCAACTTCCAGACCGACGAGTGGATCGTGGCAAACATTGAAGTGATCCAGAAGATCCTGGAGCGCAGTCTCAAGTCGGACAACCCCGAGGTGCAGGACTGCCTGCACACCGAGACGACCGACCACGATGACGGCCGCAAGCTCAAGTCGATCGTGGCGCGCGTGCTTGAGACGGTGCCCGAGGACGTGCAGATGGAGGACGCCGACGGCGAGGGCGAGTCGGAGACCCAGCAGCCGTCGGAGTTTGTCACGTTCCTGTCCAACATCGCCACGGAGACGCTCGGCGCCAACAACTACATGGCCGGCATCAACATCCTGTGGTCGCTCGCCGCGCGTCGCCCAACGGCCGTGGATGTACACATTCCGGCGATTCTCAAGGCGCTGCAGGCGAAGCTGGGCCGCGAGCATCTCGCACACTACGCCTTCATGGCGACCATTGCCAACAATCCGCACCACGCGCGCGCGCAGCAGCAGCAGCAGGATCCGGCGGCGGCGGCGGCCGAGATGACGCCCTACAACCTGGAAATCCAGACGGGCCTCATCATCAAGGCGATCGACGTCGCCGCCAAGCGCATCGAGACGCTCGGCGACAACCGCCGGCCGTTCCTCAGTGTGCTGGCCAACCTGGTGGAAAAGTCGCAGCACATTGGCCTGTGCACCAAGATTCTCGATATGGTCGAGGGCTGGGTGTTCAAGTCGGAGGGCACATGGCCCACGCTCAAGGAAAAGACGGCGGTGCTGCACAAGATGCTGGGCTTTGAGCACCGACCGGACCTCACGATGCTGCAGAAGTTCCTCGACCTCGTCATCCGCATCTACGAGGACCCCAAGATTGCGCGCACGGAGATCACAGTGCGCCTGGAGCACGCGTTCCTCATCGGCACACGCGCCCAGGACGTCGACACGCGCAACCGCTTCCTCAACGTGTTCAGCCGCAGCCTGGCCAAGGCCGCCAGCGACCGCCTCATGTTTGTCATCACCGACCAGAACTGGGAGATGCTGGCAGACACCTTCTGGCTGTCGCAGGCGTCGCACCTGCTCATGGGCGCCGTCGAGATGAACGCGACCGCGCAGCTGCACCCCGAAGACATCCGCGTGCAGACGCTGTCGCAGCTCTACGGCATCTACAGCAAGGACAACCGCGAGCCGGAGCTGATGATGGACGACAAGTACGAGGCGCTCATGGCGGGCGTGCGCAAGCACGTGGCCGGCCTGGCCGACGTCAAGGTGCGCGACCTGCTCGAGCCGCTGACGCAGCTGCAGCACACGGACAACCACACCGCCAACGAGCTGTGGGTGATGCTCTTCCCGCTCTTCTGGGGCGCGACGCTGCGCGAGGACCGGCCGGAGCTCGAGCGCGGGCTCGTCGGCCTGCTCACCAAGGACTACCACAACCGGCAGATGGACAAGCGGCCCAACGTGATCCAGGCGCTGCTGGCCGGCGCGTCGCGCGCCTGGCCCGACTGCAAGATCCCGCCGCACGTCATGAAGCACCTGGCCCGCATATTCGACGTGTGGTACGTGGCGCTGACGCAGCTGGAGCGGTCGGCCATCTTCCCTGAGGTCGCGTCGGCGCGCGTGCGCGAGAGCAACCTGGACGCGCTCGTGGAGCTGTACGCGGACCTCAAGGAGGAGGACCTGTTCTACGGCACGTGGCGGCGGCGCTGCCGCTTCCTCGAGACCAACTCGGGCCTGTCGTACGAGCAGAACGGCATGTGGGACAAGGCGCAGCGCATGTACGAGGCGGCGCAGGTCAAGGCCCGGACGAGCGTGGTGCCGTATTCGCAGGCCGAGTACATGCTGTGGGAAGACCACTGGGTGATTTGCGCGCAGAAGCTGCAGCAGTGGGACATTCTGCAGGACTTTGCCAAGCACGAGAATTTCCAGGACCTACTGCTGGAGTGCGCGTGGCGCAACTTTGACATGTGGCAGGAACAGACGAGCCGCGACCAGCTGGACGGCCTGATCAAGGGCGTCATGGACGCGCCGACGCCGCGCCGCGCGTTCTTCCAGTCGTTTATGAGCCTGCTGCGGTTTCACCACAAGCAGGAGGCGGCGCAGGAGTTCAACCGATCGACAGACGAGGCCATCCAACTGTCGATCCGTAAGTGGCACCAGCTGCCCCGCCGCCTGACCAACGCCCACATCCCACTCATGCAGCAGTTCCAACTCATGGTGGAGATCCACGACGCGAGCATCATCAGCAACAGTCTTTCGACGACGGTCTACACGAATCTCGACGCCAAGTCGTCCGAGCTCAAGCTGCTGCTGGGATCGTGGCGCGACCGGCTGCCCAACATGTGGGACGACGTCCTCGCGTGGCAGGACCTGGTGACGTGGCGCCAGCACATCTTCAACCTCATCAACAACACGTACCTCAACCTGCTGCCGGCGCAGGGCGGTGGACAGCCGGCGGGCAGCTCGTCGTTTGCGTACCGCGGCTACCACGAGACGGCGTGGATCATTAACCGGTTCGCGCACGTCGCCCGCAAGCACGACCTGTCGGAGGTGTGCATCAACCAGCTGGGCCGCATCTACACGCTGCCCAACATCGAAATCCAGGAGGCGTTTTTGAAGCTGCGTGAGCAGGCCAAGTGCCACTTCCAGAACCCCGACGAGCTGACCAGCGGGCTCGACGTGATCAACAACACGAACCTCAACTACTTCAACGCGCCGCAAAAGGCCGAGTTCTACACGCTCAAGGGCATGTTCCTCGAGAAGCTGAGCCAGAAGGAGGACGCCAACGTGGCCTTTGGGACGGCGCTGCACTACGACATCACGACGCCCAAGGCGTGGGCCGAGTGGGGCTTCTTCAACGACCGCATCTTCCAGGCCGAGCCGACCAACTACACCGTGGCGCGCCAGGCGCTGACCTGCTACCTCCAGGCGTCTGCGAGCTACAAGAACGCCAAGGTGCGGAAGCTCATCTCGCGCATCCTGTGGCTGCTCAGCCTCGACGACGCGCAGGGCACGATTGCCAGTGGCTTTGACGACTTCAAGGGAGAGATGGCCACGTGGTACTGGATCACGTTCATCCCGCAGCTGCTCTCCGGCCTCAACCACAAGGAGGCGCCGCGGACGCACGAGATCCTGCTCGAGATTGCCCAGACCTACCCGCAGGCGCTGTACTTTGTGCTGCGCACCAGCCGCGAGGACATGCTGCAGATCAAGAAGAACCAGGAAGCACGCGAGGCCAAGCTCGCCCAGCAGCAAGCGGCCCAGGCAGCGGCACTGGCACAGGCCGCCAAGCAGGGCAGCGCGTCGCCGTCGCAGACCAAGACCGCCGCCGGTGCGGCGTCCGGCACACCCGCACCTGCCTCGGCCACGCAGTCGCCCCAGCAGCAGAACAAGCAGACGCCGACGCCGACGCCGCAGCCGCAGCCGCAGCCGACCGCTGCCAAGACAGAGGGCGGTGCGTCCCGGCCGGGCACCGCCAACGGCGCCGCGGACGGCACCCCAGCGCCAGCAAACGGAGCCGCCGCTACGACACCCGCCGCGCCGGCCAGTGCATCGGGCACGCCAGTACCACCTGGGACCACCCCGGCACCTGCGGCCAGCGCAGCCACGCCGGCGTCTGCGTCCGGCACACCTGCACCAGCCATCAAGACCGAGGCCGGCACGGAAGGCGCTGCGGCTCCCGCCGCCAGTGCTGCTGGAAGCAACAAGGCCAACAGTGCGGCCACGACACCAGTGCCACCGCCTGTGCCTGCGCCTGCGCCTGCGCCTGCGTCCGCCACACCGGCTGCAGCTGGTGCTGCGGCGGGCACGCCGGCACGCAACGGGTCCGCCACACCGGCTCCCAATGGCGTCGCCGCCCAGCAAGCCAAGGCCGCGGGCGGCGACGGGTCTCCGGCGGCGGCCGCCGCCGCTGCTACCGCGGGCCGCGTGCAGGCCAACGGTGGCAAGCGCCACCCCTGGGACTACATGGAGGAGATCCTCGTGGTGCTCAAGTCGTCGTTCCCGCTGCTGGCACTGTCCATGGAGACGGTGATTGACCAGATCCAGAAGCACCTCAAGTGCCCACCCGACGAAGATGCGTACCGACTCATTGTTGCTCTCCTTAACGACGCCATGTCCTACATCAGCCGGTCGCCTACGTCTTATAGTAAGGATGTGAAGCTGCCCACTGCGACTGAGTCGAACATCATGCGGTTCGCCGAAACCGTGCTTCCGACGCATATCAGGCCCATGTTTGAAGCCGAGTTCGTTGCGGTGCGCCCCACTATGTATGAGTACATCCAGAACCTGCGTCAATGGCGCAACAAGTTTGAAGACAAGCTGGACCGCCGCTCCAACAAGGTGCCGCTCGAGCAGCTGTCGCCGCACCTGTGCGAGTTCCGCTACCTCAAGATGGACGACATTGAGATTCCTGGCCAGTACCTGCAGCTCAAGGACAAGAACTCGGACTTTATCCGCATCGACCGGTTCATCCCGCAAGTCGAGCTGATCCGGACCGTCGGCGTCTCACACCGCCGCATCCGCATCCGCGGCCACGACGGCAGCATCCACCCGTTCGCAGTCCAGCAACCGACGGCCCGTAACTGCCGCCGTGAGGAGCGGGCCCTGCAACTGTTCCGCCAGCTCAACCAGCGTCTGAGCCACAAGAAGGAGAGCCGTCGCCGGGACCTGCAGTTCACGCTGCCGCTGGTCGTGCCGGTTGCGCAGCATATCCGACTGGTGCAAGACGACCCGTCGTACGTGTCGATGCAGACCATCTACGAAGAACACTGCCGCGAGAATGGCTTCTCTAAGGACGACGCCGCCATTCACACCATGGAGAAGCTGGCGGTCTTGATCGACAGTAAGACAACGGTACGTTTACACGCTCGTCACCACATGCCAACGCAGACCATCGCACTAACAGACAACCCACAGAAGCAAAACGACCAGCAGGCTATGGGCGCGCGGGCCGAAGTGCTCGAGGCGATCCAGGCGCGCATGGTGCCCAACACGGTGCTCATCAATTACTTCCAGCGGACGTTCCCCGACTTTGGCGACTACTTCTTGTTCCGCCGCCGCTTCGCGTACCAGTACGCAGCAACGACGTTCATGACCTTTATCCTGTGCGCCGACAAGCGCTACCCCCACAAGATCAACATTGGCCGGGGCACGGGCAACGTGTGGAGCGCCGACGTGATGCCCTTCATGCCCACCGTGAGCCCGTACTTTAAGAACCCCGAGCCTGTGCCCTTCCGCCTCACGCCCAACCTGCAGGCGCTGATGGGCCCGCTGGCCGTCGAGGGCATCTTCAGCTGCTCCATCATGGCCATTGCCCGCAGCCTCGCGGAGCCCGAGCAGGAGCTGTCGTACGCGCTCACGCTCTTTGTCCGCGACGAGATTGTCTACTGGTTCACGAGCAACCGCCACGCCCAGCAGATGACCGAGGACAAGCTGCGCCGCGCCGTCCAGGCCAACGTCGACGTCGTCACCAAGCGCGCCGTCAGCCTGGCCCAGACGCCCGTCGGCAACCTGCCCGCCTACCAGACGGTTATTGACTTGATTGCCAAGGCCACCAACCCGGTAAACCTCGCCATGTGCGACGTGCTCTGGATGGCGTTTTTGTAAGGAGGAGGAGGACGACGACCACGTTGAGACGGACGTTTTCTTTTTTTTTGTTTTTTTTTATGCTAAAGTACCTAAAAAGGTTCTTAGCACATTGAGCACTTCATTTTTTGTCGCCGGCCGGTGGAGACGGCACGTTGCATTTGGTTTTATTGTCACTGCTCTGTCACTGCTCTGTCACTTGCTGTTTTTGTTTTGATTTTGTCTCTATATGCCATTCCAGGAGCCTCAAGGATTATAAACAGGATGGGGAGGATGGGTTTTCTAAAATGGAGACGTACACAGCGTTTTTGTTCTTTTGCTTTTTTTTAATTTTCACACCGCTTAGATATTTCTCGCAACATATTATCTTGATTTGACCTCATGTCACCTTGTCGTACTCAACCGTAGATTCGTGTCGCAGTATCTCGCGATGTGTTGCAAACTCCCTTGTCCTGTAATTGTTGACTTCGGAGGACTTGCACCGAATCTCCTAAGAACCCAAACAAACGCCTCAGGGGCTTACATTTTTTGGTAGCACTCAAGAGCCAATCGATCTCTACTATTGCCGGCATCTTCAATCACGCCCCGCGCCGACTGTCCTCACGGCCCTGCCCCTGAAACGCAGCGGCGCAATCCTGGCCATAGCATGAACTCACAGAATGAACTGCTTGGTAAGAATAGGGATGCAATGGCGGACGAGGGAAAAAGAAGCGGACGCGTCATACCATAGCTAGCTCTGGTTCCTGGATGAGTGTTTGGGATAGATCAATAATAGGGCAACAGCATAGGTCAACAGAAGGCGGAGATGCGATCGAAACGGAGACAAAGGATGATTGCCAGCCAAATATATTAGGAGAGGTTGGAGCGAGGAGGAGGTGTGGCACATTGACATTAACAGGAACGAGGACGGCCGGGACAACCACAGGAATGCACCGTAAAAAGTCCCGTCCTCAAGCCATATAGGGTCTTATGGGCGGGGCCGCAGACGAATATCCCTTCCGCCGTCTTTTGCACGCTGTGCTATCCCAGGGCAGTGGTCGTATTGCAGTTCGACTGCGAGGAACGCGTCTTACAACGGCACAACGGGACGAAGGGGGACAACAAGAGAGGACGGCATGTCAAGTGCCTATTTCCTTTTTTGGACCGAGACTCAAGTCGGTTCCTTTGTGAGGGGTGTGTACCTGCTTGTCCGGCCATATCACCCCAACCGCGGGAGTGAGTTTTGTGCGTAGAGCGGGAAATTGACAGCAACGTGCAGAACTTACCTGTCCCATTGTTCTCTTGTCCCGTCAGGACAGTGGCTTTCATTGCTCTAAATAAACAGGGGCCGACCAGGAACATAAGAGAAGAAATAGTATAATACAAGCCACTCGTCAGTGCAGGACACATAATTTTGTGTCCAGTAGCGATAGGTCAGGAGAGCCGGAGGGGATAGTGACTGACTGCGGCGGGCTCTTCTCGGAGATGAGTGGCGACTCGATGTCGATTAACGTCAAATCACAGTGGTACCTGCATGAGAAGGACCTCCGACAGGGGCAGTGTAGACACGATTCGACCGCAAAAGTGCGTAACCATGCGATTGAGAACCTTGTTCCTTGGTGATTTTGACCAAACAGTTTGTTTTTTTAAACAAATAAATGAATTAGAGACTGGACGCTCGGCTGTGGCGACTGAAGCCGAGTGCAAGCCGCGTCCTGCGTTGACCTCCCCGGCAAATTTTCACGTTCCTCTCCCATTTTCTTTGAGTGTTGCATCCGCCGCCTTGCTTTACCCGGCCGTGGGGAACTAGTCGACGTCGTTCTACAGTCAATCAGTGACGACCTGCTGAACCAGCGTTTGCTCATAGGTGCCTGGAGGTGTAGGTGTAGACCCGATAATGGCAGTATGGATCTCCATTTTCACGGCACCTCTGGCTAAAAGTGAGTTTATAAATAAGTCACAAGCAGCGTTCACGGCCACCCTCCTTTGCATGAGGATGTGCCGAATTTGGGGTGTGTAAGCCAAGCAGGACTGCAACTCTCACACTGGTAGACATTACAGCGAGAAAACGCACAAGTGACCGACAGCAGGACAAAATCATAGAGATGGAGCGAAAGGACGGGATGGTGGTGACATGATACGCGGTGAAGGAGCACTTTCGACCTCCACAAGATGATGTTTGACGGTAGCTTCTTGATGAGGCATTTGTCGTCTTTTTGTCGCAGTTTCAAAAGGCAAGACAAGGAAATTAATATGAGGGATAACTCTGTTGTCAGATGGCAGGCTGCAGAAAGGGCGATGCACATATGCATATGCACTCCAGAGACGGGATAGAATGGTTTCGATATGGATGCAGGAGTGGAGGACTTCAGAGGCTTATTGCAAGTGGGCAATAATAAAGTAAAAAAAAAAAGAAATGCGGGGAGCGTGTGCGTCGCTTTTTTCGCGTCAAAGTACAGGCAAAGTATCCCCCAGCTATAATGATTATGCATGCACTGAGCATTGTCGGTATGCCCTCAATCTCTTGGCTTGTTGTTTGCAAGCGGCGCCCCAGGAGTCAAGCCGATGGCCGCTGGAAAGTCGAGGTGCCTTGCGATGTTTCAAGGTGTGGCCTGCCGCTGAGCGCTATTGGACCAGACGGGACGGTGAACGGTCTCTGAATGAGATCTGGAACGTCGGGTCTCCATTATTGGAAGGTGAGGAAATCCGCGTGGCGGAAGAACAAAACCAGCGCGTCACGTTGGTGTGTACCATACTGCGCACTGAGTTTTCAGATGGGACTAGTTCAGTTCTCATTGTTGCTCGTAAGAGAGCGTTGAATTAGTTCTGTTCCGACTGGCTCTCATGGCAATTTTTCTTCTCTTGTGATTTGGGCGCCATGGAGCCGTTGCCTGCATTGTTCCCATTTCCGTTTGAACTGTGGGATGCCGGGATACCTCGCTGCACTTAGTTCTGGTTTCGTCAAGTTTGATATAATAGTCAACACTGCACAACCATACCCTCCTTAAAGTCCATCTGCCGAATGCAACGTGAACTTGTCTCTCCTGTGATTCTTGTCTTGCATCACGTCCGATTAGGAACAAGAAGCCGTCTGTCCGCCGCGGAGCTTGGCCCCCGATTCGTGTTCCTGTCCTTTTCAACCGGGCACCGAAATGGGCAAGGAGACTCTCGTGGGAGCCTCTCGTGACTTTGTGCTCTGGCGTCAATGGGCAGCATAGGACAGCAAGAGGCACAGAAAGGTGCGAACATCCCGCGTGAATGAGCAGGCAGTCCACATACACAACGCATAAAAGCTGCCACTAGCTGCTGACGAGGACGCGTATTGCCCACACACCCTTGCATCCCTGTCTTAGTGTCTTCTGTTTTCGATGCTCTTGGCAGGTGGCAGGAGTAATATCGAGAGGCAGCCCCGTTGTGTGTGACGAGACGCATTGGTCTCAGCGAATAGTAGCCCATAAAGGAGCGCATACACGACAAAGGAGACTTGGGCAGGGTCACCACGTCCCCTCTTATTTCCTCTTTCTTTCATGCAGGTTTGACGGCCTGATATTGCGCGTGGTGTCAACTGATGCATGCTTGTGGTGTGAACAAGCGAGGGGGGATAAGAAAAAAGGAACAGGGAAAAGGGACAAGGAGTGCAAGTGCACGGAAGGTGTGAATGTAACTTTGAGGGGAATCGTGCTGGAAATAAGAGAGGACGATATATAGACGGCATCGTCGGACATATCGCATGCTCGTTAATTATGGTGCAATATATTTTATATATTGACGAGACACGGAGCGCTGGAGACAGCAGGGAGTACAGTTGAGAGGAACGCCGCGGCGCGACGCATGGTGGAGAAGGACGTGAGTGAGGTGTATGTTGACTTTTGCAGTTTTCGCAGTTTAACCGGCGAATGTCGTATGGCTACCCGCTCGGGCCCGATATTGGTGTCAGTTGGCCCGGAGAAAGTGGAGGAATGTGTTTGCCAGTCAGTACTCTGTTGACAACGACGACCATGAAATTGTGTAGGATGGGAGCAGAAAAAGGTCTATGGATGAACAAAATGTCTTCCAAGTGGAGAGACCGGCAAGCTGGCAAGCATCGCCATAGAATACTGCTCAAATGCATTCTTGTCCACTTGTCGTCGTTCGCATGAAACGGCAGTGGGCATAGCGTCCCAGGAGTGTTGGTAAAGTTGCAACGGGCCAAACGATCATATGTCGGCTCAAGGCTAAAGTGCACAAAAATGCCTTTTGAAGAAGGAGGCAGGATGTGCTGTGATGGAACGTAGGAGGAGGGAGAGCCACCTGCGTGAGGCATGCCCCCATGACCATTTCTTTCCTTTCTTGTGTATAGAATAATACGCTGAACTACCATGATGGTCAGCATTCGTTGTTCCTGTCCCAAACTTGAACACTGTGTCGAAGAATATAAGGAAAGGAACAAAAACAGAAAATGGACTTGGGCTGACACTACCGGCAGAGACGGGGCCCAAAATAGAACAAATTTCAGGTAACCGACGTTGGCGGGTTCAGCCTTTGGTTTGGTGTTTGCTTTGCGCCCTCGTGCCTAGGTGGTTATTCAATTCATCTCGCCCCGTGTCATTTACATCCCCCAGGCCGGGACGAGGTAGGCTCACATGTGGACAAAATGAAAATAGCTATCACGGTCAAGCCCTTGCTTTTGCGGCGGCCTTGACAATGTGTTTTCGTTGTGTGGATGCGTGTATGTCGTGCAGCTCAGCACTCACAACACCCTTCCCGTTGGCGGCAGATGTACAGTTTTCTGCCAAATTCTTTTGAATTTTGCTTCTGGTCAATCAACACACGACCCATGACCCAGGACTATGTGCGGTAGATTCCCAGGTTGGCAGAACTGACAGACCAACAGAGCGACGGGGAAGCGGAAGGAGACTTGGAAACACGACCCGTCCCTTCGAAAGGTCAAGCGCGCCGGGCGTCGCATCTCGTTCTTGTTCTTGAAAAGGTTCCGAAAATTGGCTTGGGTTGCAGGTGGCTGGACGGCTTGATGGTGTTTTGGGACAGCCTCACCACCGTCG